CAAAGATTGTCAGTTCATAGGAGTATGCTACATAACGAGACATCCCGATCTAAACTTCTTCAGTCTCGATTGGATTGAGAATATGAAACTGCTTGATGTACGTTTGAATTCCGTGTGCAACAAAGTATGCGACGCATCTGCTGAGTGGACGGAGTCTTTACAGCGAAAATATCGGCAGGTATTTCAAGATGGTCTGGGATTGTGCACGAAAACCAAGGCCAATCTTTCCCTGCGGCCAGAAGCAAAGCCACTCTTCCGACCGAAGAGACCAGTTTCGTATGTAGTGGTTTCAACCGTCGACCAAGAAATTGACAGACTACAGTCAACCGGAGTTATCAAACCGATCAATTTCTCTTCATGGGCAGCCACCATTGTGATTGTCAAGAAACCAAACGAAAAGTTACGCTTATGTGCAGATTACTCTACTTGCCTGAATACCGCCTTAGAAGACCACAAATACCCTCTACCCCTCAATGAGGACCTTTTTGCATGTTTGAACGGTGGCAAGTGTTTTGTCAAACTGGACTTGTCAGACGCATATCTCCAGATTGAAATGTCAGAAGAATCGCGTGAGTTGCTAACGATTAACACTCACGGAGGACTTTTCTAGTATAAGTGCCTACCATTTGGCGTTAAGTCGGCCCCGGCAATCTTTCAGCAGATCATGCATACGATGCTACATGGAATACCTTATGCGGCTGCATACCATTATTATTATAATTATTATTATTATTATTATCATGGGATCTAACCAGGAAGAACTACACCAACGAACGGAAATCGTGCTTGACAGAATAAAGGAGTATAGTTTTCACCTACGAATGGACAAGTGTGAGTTTTTCATAACCATTAAATACCTGGGCTTTATCATTGACTAAAATGAACGAAGACCTGATCCATCAAACATCAAGGCGATCAAGGAAATGCGCCCGCCAAAAGACGTAGCGACGTTGAGATCATTCCTGGGTATGGTGAGTTATTACGGCACCTACCTGATGTCCATGCACGACCTACGCGGACCATTAAACCGGTTGCTGATGAAGGACGGCTCGTGGGTCTAGACTACCGAATGTCAGGAAGCCTTCGACAGCATCACATTGTCACTAAGCTCAGAACTGATGCTAACGCATTGTGATCCAAAACTGCCAATTGTAGTGGCATCGGATGCATCCAGCTATGGAGTTGGTGCAGTTATCTCCCACATTTTCACAGATGGGTCTGAGAAGCTAGTCGCTCATGCCGCTCATTCACTAACAGCAGCATAAAGAAAGTATGGTCAAATTGAAAAGGAGGCTCTCGCTATTGTGTTTGCAGTGAGGCGTTTCCATAACATGTTATATGGCCGTCACTTTACCTTACTAACGGACCACAAACCGCTTCTTGCTCTATTCGGCTCGAAGAAAGGAATTCCTGTATATACGGCCAATCGTCTGCAGAGATGGGCGACAACGTTGCTGGGGTATGATTTCAACATCAAGTACTGATCGACGAGTGACATTTGTCAGGCCGATGCGCTGTCACGGTTGTTAGACGAACAGCACCAACCAGAAGACGCTGTCGTTGCAAATGTCTCAATTGCAACGGAAGTTAGCCTTGTACTCTCGGATAATGTGATCCAGTTTCCACTATCTTTCAGTCAGATTCGAGACGCCACCTTACGGGACCCGCTGCTGTCACAAGTGAGCACTTTTTACCACTCACAGTGGCCTCGAGAATTTTCCAACGCACAGCCACAACAACTGTTCCAGAGACGAAATGCACTATCGGTCGTCGAACACTATATCTATATATCCCAGCCGAACTTCAGTCGAAAGTCTTACATCACTTTCAAACTGGACACCTCGGTTCCAACAGGATGAAAGCTATAGCGAGGAGTTATGTGTACTGGCCGTTTATGGATTCTCAAATTGAGGAGTTAACACGTTCCTGTTCAAATTGTACCCTAACAGCAAAATCGCCACGGAAATGCGAACTGTTCTCCTGGCCAAAGCTCACGAAACCATTGTCAAGGATTCACTTTGATTTCCTAGGACCAGTCAAAGGACAGAACTACTTGCTTATCATCAATGCATATAGCAAATGGCCCGAAATCTTCCAAATGTCGAACTCATCAACGTCGGCTACGATTACAGTCCTCAGGGAAGTATTCATTTGGTTCGGTTTTCCGAAAACAGTAGTAGCCGACAATGGACCCCAGTTTATCTCTTCATATTTTGCTGAATTCTGTGCGGTACAAGGCATGCAGCATTTGCGCTTACCTCCTTATCACCCACAGTCAAATGGGCAAGCTGAACGATTTGTGGATACTTTCAAGAGGGCTCTGCTCAAAGCGGAAGGAGACGGACCAATCCAAGAGGTCCTCCAAATTTTTCTGTGAACGTACAGGATTACGCCTAATCCACAGAAGCCTGAAGGGAAGTCTTCAGCAGAATCACTTCTGCTCAGAAGGCCTCGAACGAAATTTTATATAATAAGGCCGCCGCATAGACTCAATCCCGAAACAAACTGAGTAATGGAGCACCAGTACAATCGAAGGCATTGTGCTATACCACGACACTTCGAAGTTGGACAGAAAGTGTTTGCTAAAGGACTATCGGAACAACCAAATCTCTTGGACACCTGTAAAAAGATATGGCCATGCCTGTTATGAAGTGGCCGTAAGCGATGACAGATGGATCCGCCACATCAAATCAGGAGCTACATCTCATTTGACAGAAGAGAAGATGCTCTAACTACGCTTCTTGGATTACTTCTGGACGAATTCAAACTACCAAAAACAGACTACTCATCAAAATAGGCCTATCAACCCAACAGCCTCTCCTACACCCGATTGTCGACGCAGATGGCCCGATCGTTGCTGAGTTCCTGTCACGCCGCTCCAGGTTAACCCCATGTTGAAATCATATAACAGTGGACTTCAAACGGGGAGGTATTAGGAGGGGCACCTCCTAACGAATGGATCAGTGAACTTTAATGATGTGCATGGCTGGACGCTAACCGCATGCGTCCGTCTGCCATAATTATTAATTGGTAATATGAATTCTTTGTTCACATGACCTCCAGTGCCTCGCACGTCCTGTTGTTGTACTTTGAGACTTACTGTTACGCAAATAACCATCTTATTACACAGCTCTACTTTTCTGTTTTCGTCTGGCTTAACACTTTCGACCGGTTAGACCACGACATTTTGCTTTCTATGCTACAGACCTTTGGTATTGGTTGTGCTCTCCGAGGGTGGATCAGAAGCTTTCTCCTACACCGGCACTTGGAGATACGATTGCGTGTATCCCTATTAGATCCCATCTAAGTTGAATGCAGAGTACCACAGGGATCGGTATTGAGGCCACGGTTATTTTGGATTTCTGTCAACGATATCACACCTCATAAGCTCGAACTGTCTGCTCTATACCGATGGCATCCGAATGTGAAGGGTGATCAATACACCGGATGATATCACACTACTTCAAGCCGATCTGGATAGGGTTTACGCATGGTCAATTCTGAATCTATTTCGGTCTAATGTGGAGTGCTGCACTTACAGAACCAGCTGGTGTGCCGCTGCAAACTTGGCTCCCAGGAGCTACAAATGTCTTCAGGCGAAAAGGATCTGGGCGTTTTGATCCAGTCCGCTCTTGGATGTTCATATCGGACTGAAAGGGCGTCAAGAACAGGCATCAAAATGTGGGCCTCCTGAGGGGTGCATACGACTGATGTGACCCGCCGATTTTCAGCTGCTTCTCGGCTCATACATGCGTCCAAATGTGGAACACGCAATACAGGTCTGGTTGCCATGACTGACGAGACCTCTCACCGCGTTAGAGATTCCCCTACGCCGGGCAACCAATAAAGACTTGGATCATTTGCCGTACGAACAAAGGCTCCGAGTGCTCGGGATCTTCAGCGGATCCTACTGGAGACTGCATGGGGGCCTCACTTTGATTTACCAGATTTTAAGAGATCCTAATCACATGTGCCGCCATTTGCCAGAGGTCAGTCACAACAGTAATTTGAAAGGCTACCATCTCAAGCTGTCAAAGCAGTACAATCGTTTGGAATACCGTCGGAACTTTTTTAATTTCCACGTGTTTGCTAGGCGTGGAATGCTCTACCGGAATCTATCATGTGTGCTCCGACGCCGATAGTTCCAATCCGAGTTGACCGTGCACTCATCTCGCTTCACTATCCCAGACGACTGAATGCCCATGGCCAAACACGATTGTTTGTTAGAGATGTCACTGCCGGTCAGCTCTTAGAGTAAATGCCACCTTTTCCCCTTCTGCACGTGTTTACCGGTAGGCGACATTTCTGCAAACGTCCCATTTATCGTCATTCCTTCTGGATTTACACTTTATAATACGTATACCGCGTTGAGTCCACTGATTTGACCATACTGTTGCTGACAATTTTTCTATATTTTGCATTATTCACTATGACTGTCCCGCGGGACTTTGGCTTTAGCTTTACCCGTATCAAGCCATTGTTCCATTGCTTGTTAGGCACTGAGAATTTGTTGAGCTCTGGACGGCGCTGACCGTTTACTTGTATGAATAATTGGAAACCAGTTAGATAAGTTCTCATGGACTATCATGTATGATGTAATCGTTACATCTGGCTTTCGGTCAACCGCTCCTCTTTCTGATCCATTACGTCTGACGTGTAGAGCTTCTTACTGATTTCCACCTATGTATCTCCATTTAAGTTTTTCATGTTTTTTACTTATACTATCGTTACGACGCCATTTATGGCCTCTAAAATTTCCCATCCCGCTGGTGTGCTCTTGGCGAACCGGGAGTAGGCCTCATCCCCATGCATCCCGTGTTCCTTTGGTCAACTTCGCTGTGCTCTCTGTTAGAATCTATTACAACTTGTTTTCACTGACTGTACATCTAGGTACTTTTGGCCACTCACTGAACCGTTCCACTGCTTGTGACCGGATGTCTCATTTCCGTTAACGACGTCTGTATGTCAGTCTAAATCTTACTATTCCCTTTCGACTTTAGGCTACTTCTGCGACCCAGCCTGCCATGGCCAACTCATCTCTGGTAGCCATTCCGAAGTGCCTTCAGACATTAAATCCTCTCGTTCTTTCGCATGTGCCAACCGTCTCTGTACAGCATTCTACATCTGTGCAGCATTGTTCCTTCTCACCGGTTTATTATTCATTCCCCTACGTTGGTTCGCGAATCGGGAACCATTCGGGTTCTGCTGTCCATCTGCTTCCGGTGCAGCTGTCCCATCATCCTTCTCCCCCAAAGAATCCAACTTGGAGGAAAATGCATCCTCGTGCTTTCCCCCGTTCAATCCAGATTTTTCTGCCGGTGACACTCAGGAAACTCAAACAACTGTTTTAGAGAGTACGTCGTTTTATTTGAATCCTTTGCAATCATGTGTTATCCACGCGTCCCCCCCCTCCACATTCGAGTAGCTCTATTTTAACTGGAATTTCTAAACGGGTTATTATCGTGCCTCCCCCTGTATTCACCCTAAGCAGTTTCATCGAATTGTTGCACTAAGATGTGTTTCTTACAACCAGCATTGCATACTGTCTCATACCGCGTTGTGTCCTTCCAAATCGCGTATATTTTCTCTAATCGGAGGACTTTTCACCACCTACACAAAAGTTAGAATGATATCTGTAGTTGGTGGTGGTTACACGTGTTGCTTAGATGTTCCGTGTATGTTACATCTTTTGTAATGTACACTGGTTTCTGGAGCATGCGTTTTTCCAATAAAACGTGTTTCCTCTGCGAATCACGCACGAATCACTTCATCCGCTGGTTCGGATTTTTTTAGCCTAAGTACTATAATGGCCACAGGGTGTGTTGTACTAGGCCGTCGCATAGGAATCCGGCTTACACGCACCCGCTTCGTTTGATCTATAGAACTTATGTGTTCGCCACATCACGTTTCCACTTTTCATCAGTAGCCTAGCGATGTGCATTGCCTCATGCCTCTTGTGCGTCAAGCGTTTGGTCCTCGCTTTCGACCCGTAGTTTAGTCACCTTGTTGAAACTAGATTTGCTGGGATTGGGTTGATTTGGTTGTTCAATTCCTACTTTCCACTTAAGTGCAGGAGGCTTGCAAACTATGCGTAAGACAATCGCCTATTAGTTCACTTGTCGCAACCTAAACGGATCTCGCTGTCCCTTTTATCTCGTAATTTTGGCTTGTGTTCCAGAGTGCCCATTCTCTAACAGGCAACAAAAGGTACTGTATCCAGCTCTTTGTTGCATCGTCTCCGTTACTGAGCAGGGCCTTCATTCGCAGATGTTCTTTGGCTGATGAATGCTCACATTTGTCGTGTTGATTGGGTTCGCTGAGCTTATCAAGTCTGAGCAGTTGAGGTTTCCATAGTTATAACCCCAACAGTTTTAATCCGGTACCAGTTTTCAGTCTCTGTCTTCAGTGGCTCTCTTGTTAGTCTTATTTATGAAGAAGGTCCCAACAAGTTCCTAGAATGTTGTGCTCATGTTGCTTTTTGCATTTTGCTTATTCGTTTCCTCCTCCTTTCACTAACCCTCTAGGTCGGACAGATTCCGGCAATTGAAGGCATGGCACCAGTTCGCACTGGACTTATTTTTGATGCATTTCCTTTTATTATTCCTGGCTCTCAACAACATTTATTATATCCAACCAATTTCTCCTACACAATATTCCCTACACTCATTTGAACCCTTTACACACGCATACACCCATGCACCTCTTTATCCGGTGCCCTCCTCGCTGCCTATTCGCAATCATTGCATTTATTCATTGCATCGCTTCTCCTCTCTCTTGATTCACACTCCGCTGTCTTGTTCTTGTCAAATAGATCAAGTTCACTATCTGTGAATCGTTGTGTTATTTTTCTTTCTTCATTTAATCTGCCATGCTGCTATCGAAACAGTAGCAATCTGTCGATTGTTTCACCACGCGTCATGTCACATTACTGGCCAAGCAACCGTCTACCTGTCTTAGGTTGCAATCGTTTTGTCACCAATCGAGGTGGCATCATGCCTTCTTTTGATCACCTGGAAATTCTTGCTTTTTGCTGATGATGGTAAGATGTGGCGCGCGATCGCCGACCATAAATATTACAACACACTACAACAATACCTGGACAGGACGTGTGAATGGTCATTACACACTCGGCTCCAGTTTAGTTCGTCTAAATGTAAGGTAGTCCACATTTGTCATCTGCTGAACATAATATGCAAGCTTGGAGACCACGTTCTGCAACCAATCATCCAATGACGCGATCTTGGAGTATTGATCCAGGCTGATCTGGGCTGCTCAAAACCATCTCAAACACTGGGAACCAACACGTTGGCACGCTGCGTAGGGCTTTCGGCCCCTGTGATCTATCTCTCTGTCTGCAGTTGCTTAAAACATTAGTGGGATCTCGTGTGGATAACGCAGTCCACGCTTGACATACGTGGCACAAGCAAGATCGTGCAGCGCTCGTGACTGTACAACGAAGAATCACTAATCAAGTCAACTTAGGCTGAGAAACCTAGGATTATACAGCGGTCAGTACCGGTGCCTACGCGGCGATCTTATGATGGTCTACTATGTTCTGGGGAACCCCAATTACTTGTGCCGACACTTAATGCGACTTAGCGTCTACATGAACCTTAGGGGCCACGAGTTCAAGTTACCCACAGAATACAATTGTTTAGAATATCGTCGAGACTTTTACTCCCTTCGTGTGTGCCAGCCTTGGTACGCCTCTCCCCAATTCCGTCGTTTCCGCCCATTTCAGTTCAATGGAACAAATATGGTCCGAGCACCGTATTGCGGTGGATCCAGCTGCCACGACTCACCTCGCATGGATAACAATAAATAACAATGGTATGATAGTGCGGTTAAAGACAGATAGCATATAAAAAAGATGGAAGCAAGAAGGAAGTACATTAAATTAATCATAATGGAACGAAAATTAGCAACTGCATGCAAGAAACCGAACACAAGAACACCACTGACTTCGTGACTGCGCCATGTCTGACAAAGTCCCCAAGCATTGGTGTGAACCATCCCTAGGCCCCATCCAGGGACACTGCACGCACCAGCCTGACCAAGTCTTTCAGCCAATTTCTTCATGCTTCTATGCCATTTCATGGACTGACCACCTCGCGGTTTCCGTCTCCACCTTATCTGTCTTAAAAACGCCTTAATGTTGCCGTAATCCATCTGCATTGCGAAATATTGCTTGTGTACATCAAGATATATAACGTCAATGTGTGAAAACGGTGCAGCAACCAGAATTGCCATACACAATCGAAACAGGCTCTTTTACGCATGCCTCAATGTAAACACCATAGTAAGTTCACCACAACGCTGTACATTTTATTGCAATTTTTTCTTTTATTTTTATGGTTCTCGTTCTACCCATCCTACGGGACTTGTTAGGCATTTATTTTTTTAAGTGGGGTTCTTCGCAGTCAGTTTCCAAATCACATAGTCGCCCACATGCCCGGAAAAGCACTAGACTGCAGTTTCAGCCTGTTGGGCATCATCAGTAGTGCGCATCGATTTATTTTTTTCCCCGCAATATATAGTTGTTCCATTGTATCGCTCATTCTTGCGACCGCCGCTGTTGCGCATCCTTCCGATTTCCATCTACTTGAAACACTTGCAGCTGGTTGGCCGTTTTGAGGTCGCCGTTGATTGAGGGTTTATCTTTGTGGAGTATTTCGTTTCACTGTGTATCATTATCAGTCGTGAGTTGACTCTGATACACGCATACGGTTGGTGACTTTCGCGTTCCTCATCTGGTACGTTGTTGCGCTAGTGATTGTCACGTGTCTACAACGTTTAGCAGTTATCGGGTCAGCGCTGTTGCCTTTGACCGGTCACCTGCGTCAAATTGAAGTGGACTTATCTATCTGCATTTAAATCACCATGGCGATGAAATTAACACGACAGAATGGTGTCAGCGAAACGGTCACTCGGAAAGCTGTTTGGATAGCAGCAAGGACCAAAAGTTCGTCGGCGGAAATAACTTACCTGTTTTCAAAAGACCGAATAGAGCTGCGCATCACTGCTTACTTGACAGCCTCTGTGTTGAGTAGCTTCTCTATGTACTGGAGACACGCGCTATCCTTACTTAGTCTTTTCACCACTTCACATCTTCTCGCTATGCTATCAACGACTGATTTACGTCCAATCGATCGGACAACATATCGACAAGCGAACTTGGGCTAAATAGATGGTTGGCAAGTATTGGCGGAACTTGACCCAGGTTATTTGCGGGATGCCATCATCATTTCACTTTTCCTAGAGATATCCACTATATCAACACAGGTTGATTTCCTCCGCACAACTGTGAACAACATTCCTCTTTGGGTTGGAGAAGTAGCGACGCTGTGTACTCCGCTGTAACTGTGGAGTAAACACATTGCTAGAGATTCGATTAAGACAATTCATTGTGGCGTCGCTGACACTCTCGGATGATATCAGAAGGCAACAGCTACTGCGATAGCGAGGACTGGCCGAGTACTCTACCATTTCATCAATAAAATATTCTCCATTTCCCTTGAGCATCCGTCATAGTTAGGAATCCATTCATGCTGGGTTTCGCATTTATTTACAAAGGCTGGAAAAACCATAGGGGGTACAAGGTTCCGATCTGCTTTTAACTGAGCAACAACCAGTTGTTCTGCATCCATCCGTATCGTCAGTGTTGGCTCACTCGATCTTGTTATTGGGATCTGTAGTGAAGAAAAAATGACGAGCCATTAATACTTTGATATCTGAAGCGGCAACTTTCAACATACCGAAGTAAGCATCCTACCTGCATTATGCTTACTGCAACAACTTCCTTTAGAAGTCTTCGAATACGATCTTGCAGTTTTGTACCACAAAATATTATCTTTATTGGAGTACTAGCTAAACACTGTCTCTTGGTTGCGACAGAGGTACTTATTCAGTCTATTTGTAATACAAAGGTAGTTGAATGGTATAAGTTTATCACCCCCAGAATTTGATAACTGTGTACATGCACAGAGTTCAGCACACACACACTACCCGCAGGGAACCATAAGCGCTCAGGCATTGATCGGGATAGTCTGGATCGACGCCATGGATTATAACGACCAATCAAAAGCCCATGTTACGCATCCAGATCGACAGTAGTATGTGCCTTTCCCTCATGCCATAAAAATGTACGAACTGGAATCCAGTATTCCAATTGCTTTGGCAAGTTTCATTCTAAGTGTTCCAAGCTCACAGTCAACCAGTTGAAGGTACGCAAAAGTAAACCAGATTTACTGTGGTTCTGTGAAGTATGTATGGTCATCCCACTGGTAAAGATTATACATGAACTATACATGAACAGAAACATGAAAGACAAGTGGTAATGATTGAACAAATGCGGAACAACAAAATTGATTCATTTGAAGTAACTGCGACAAACCCCGGTCATTCTTATTAGACTCCACAGCGTCTGTGGCTCCAAATCCTCTGGCTTATCTCACTCCAATAAGCGAACAGGCTTCAGACACGCCCATTTCCACTACTCTCAGCCGTTCAGGCCCCATCAAACCGGTGGCGATAATGGCAACTCTTAGCCCAAGTTCGTTCACCATTGAAAAATGCCGGGCGTAGTACGCATCAGCTGCCTACATGCAAACGCCAGAAAGAACACCTCTGACTCCACTAACAGCACCGAGCAACATTAAGGTGACAGCCTCCACGAACTAGCAAACCGTTTAAAACCTGCAACTAACAGAAGGAATCACGGTGTTTGACTGTTATGTATACAAACGTTCCTGGATCGCGGTCTACTCTATCATTAAGGGGAAACGGATGGACGGTCGTAATCAGTGGAATTCCATTTGTGATGCGTTTGGCATTTCGGTTGAGCACATGATACTGAGGCGGGTTCCACGTCATCCAAATTCAGTGCTTTGTGGAGAACCTCGACTTCTCCCTTGACGCAGAGTTCTACCTGTGACACAAAGGCCGTTCTAATTTCTTCGATTCAGCTCCGTCACTCGTCACATGATGTGCGCATACTTCTGGACATCCCTTAGAACAAACGTACGAAAGACAATAGCAACCGTGAGGAAGTTCTTTAGTCTGTAGAAAGACGGACGATTATTGTTTACGGGGTTCCTGCGCTTCAAACATCCCCTCTGAGGAAGCGGAAGCACACGGCTTGGTGCAATGGAATTACATCCGCCAGGTACTCTTCCTCGGCAATTTTGTTACAACGAGTTTGACAAATGTTCCATTATCACCAAACTACAAGGGATAAGGTCCTTTTCTGATGAAGGTGATGATTCAGTCTGAGCTGATAACACCACTTATGGAAATTATTGAGAATACTTGTAGTTCGGGGTGTGGATGAGAGGATTGTCCTGTTCTCCGAGCCGGGCATTTCGGTTGCAGACGTTTCGTTACCAAACCGTAACATCTTCAGTGCGTTTATTCAGTCCTGATTCGCGGTCTCGCAAACCAATGTCAGATCCGAGTGAAAATTTTCGTCACTTAGTCACAAAAACATCAGAACTTAAAGTTTTCCACCGTCTCAGCAAACCAATAGCTTTTCTAAGAAGCCGAACACGATAATTTATGGCTTTGTGGGATCAGGCATAACAAATTTACAGAAACAATCTCAGCTCCGAAAATTGGACAATGTGTGTAGCGCAGTTGATTCGTGAAGACAAGCAAAACGATTCTGTTCGAACCACAAGCTTCTTTACATGAATGTGAATCGACTTCGTGAGGTGTAGCGCGGAATTCCACCACTCATTACGGTTAGTGGGTACACACGCACAGCGAAAAAGACGGTCAACGCCTTACGGGCACAGTATTGGCGTACTGTCCAAGGGGTACAAGCCTCTAACGCCATTCCTGCTTCTATCACTGCACCATCCTTTTTATCCAGTATTACATTCACAGCAGGAACGGTGCTAAGAAAGCTACTTTCCTTGAGCTCACACAGCTCTCATGCAGTCGAAAACGTTTACCCTAAAGCATTGTGGGCAGCAGCTGGATTCTTTCCTCGTTGTCCAGACGAAAGCATAGTTACATCAACGGGGAAACAGGTATTATAATTCCCATCTGATCCTGCTAATTACCCCCAGGTAACGATTCTCTCTGTGCTTGCCCACGCAATGGAAGCGGTCATCGCGAGCGTACTGATGGGTTACTTAGAAAGCTACAGCATCATTGCGCTAGAGCAGCACGGGTTTCGTTAACATCGATCATATTCTACGAATCTGCTAACAGCACGTGACAACTAGACCGAAACAGTCAACAAGGGGACAGGGGCCGATGTTGTCTACATGAACTTTTCGAAAGTCTGATCGCTTGGATCATCGAATCCTGCTGCACAAACTTCAGCACTACGGCATCGGAGATCCACTGTTGGTATGGATCGGTAACTTTCTCCGTGAACGGCTATTGGAGGTTAGGGTCCGAACATCTCTGTCCGACCCAATTTGCTTGGACTGCGGTGTATTGCAGGGTTCGGTGCTTAGGTTTCACCTGTTCTTGGCCTTCATTAACGATCTTCCGGCGGTTATCACCTCAAAATATTTACTCTTCGCGAGTGATCTTAAGGTTTGGCGGCGATCAAGGGAATGGACGACCACCAGATCCTCCAGGGCGACCTCGATAATGCATGGCATTGGTCGATGAGAAAGGTACTTTCCTTCAATGTGGATAAATACCGCGTTGTCCACATCCGTTTTGGACACGTCTACATCTACAAACTTGGGGCGCATGATCTGCGGACAAGATCTCAGGAACGTGGCCTCGGTGTGGTGGTACAAGTTGTTCCATTCAGTCAGAATTCGCTTAAAGAAGAAGTGGATGGCATTCGGGTTGGGATTATTTTATCTTCTCACTGATGCTCAATACCTACGTGCGTCCCCACGTCGAATACGCAATTCAGACTTGGCTAAAGTGTGACCTTGCCGCGCTCAAAAACCCCAACTTCGCGCAACGAAATTTGTCAAAGGATTGCGTAACCTTCCGTACCAGCAACGATTGAAGACACTCGGAGTGTTAACTAGACGCTACCAGCTGCTACGTGGGGACCTCATATTGGTATACAACATACTGAGCAACTCCGCTCACGTATGCAGCCACCTGCGGAAACTCAGCCCGAAAACCAGCCTTAGATGCAATGGAACAATGAACAATGGTATATGACGGGTAAAAAAGCATACACTTAACGAGTCCCGCAGGTGGGCAATAGAAATACTAACAAATTGGCAAACCACATAGGTGGTTGAAGTAAGGAGCGTCAGTGAGATAAAAGGTAGAAGTATAACAGTTTTAGGGGGGATAAAGTGGTACGACGCAAAACTGGCTAAGAAATTGTTATCGTTGGTGATGGTAGCAAATAAAAATGGAGTACTCACCGGTTCGCACAGATTTACGACCGTGAATTTGGGGTATAAATCCAAAGAGGCTGGTCAGCCTAAATATATACAAGCGTTTTCGTTCATAAAACAAAGCACAAGGGGCTCAGTGCGACGTCCAATCGTTTTTTAAACGTATCTAATGTGGGGGCACAAACAACTGAGTTTGGAAGGGCGTTCCAGGGCCCGCAGACCCGGAGGGAGAAATAGGTTCTCCGACAGTCTAGACGACTGTACTGTTGGCTCAGCTTTAAACTGTTACCGCGAAGGTTAGTGTTCGGGCTGAGCTTCAAGAGGTGGCGGCATACGTGACTGGGATCGTTCAATATCTGGTACACTAGTATGAGGTCTCCACGAAGTCGCCGGTACCGTCCGCTGAACACTCCGAGTATCTCCAGTCGTTCCTGGTAAGGAGTGTGGCGCAAGCCCTTGACGATTTTCGTTGCTCGACGCTGTGGGGTCTCAAGCGCTGAAACTGCGTCAACAACACAGTCGTCTAGATTGCCGACGAAATTACCTATCCTTCCGGGTCTGCCAACCTTGGAACGCCCTTCCAAACTCAATTGTCTGTTCCACAACATTAGCTGTTTTAAAAAAACTATTGCGTATTGAATTGAGCTCCTTACACTTTGTTACTTGAACGGAAATCCTGGAGATCTTCAGGCTAGCTAGCCTGATGCACGTAGATCTGTGCAGATGGGCGAACAATCTGCTTGTTATTTACTATGTGTACTAACTATAACAACCTGTTCTTCCGTTTCGCCTGCTGCTATCTCACTGCCACAACCATCCTTCCACACTTTGGTACTCTATTGTTCCACTGACCTCTACTGTATTTGGTCCACTTATATTTGAATTTCACATTCTTCTATTTTCAACTTATGGGACTTGTTAAGCCTGTGCTTTTTTCCTCCTTATAAACAATTGTTCCTTTGTTTCAACTCAAGTGGGATGCCCATTTGTTACGTCAAGTTTCGAAGGATAAACAAAACACGAAGCTCTGGGCAAACAATTGTTTTCGATTACTTCTTCATCAGTCTCATACAGTAATATTAATGTTAACGTCTGTTGCAATCGTTAGTGTAACAAAGAAACAATTGATCAGAAAATTTAACTTGTGATCATGATGGCATTCATCTGATCACATGACTGAAGTCAGGTGATGCTTTGGGAACTTTGATGCTTTGAGAGAACCTCAGAAAAACGAAGATCTCATCATAACCAAACCAGACAAAGGATCTGGGACTGTGCTGATGGGTCGTGCGGATTACATCAAGAAAATGAAAATGATACTCTCGGACACTTCACGTTTCGTGAAATGTGAACAACAGAAAGAT